TGTTACAAGATGTGTTGTCTTGTTCTGCCAAGGCACAAACTGTGAGTTTATACCTCTGTATTAGTAAGTTTTTTTCTCGTTAATGATTAAAAGTGAGTTTATCGCTCTATTAGTAAGCACTTTTTTACATTTAAGATTAAATGTTGAGAGTTGAGAAATAATAAGGGTGGCAACTGAATACGAGTATGTTAAGCAAAGCACCTGTCATGAGCTTACAACAAAAGTGGAAGTACGCTGTTTAGACAGCTGAGTGGTTGCATTAAAATGACATGCTGAAAAGAAAGGAGACAAACTTTTGAACTGTTGAAAAGTCTTCAAAATGCTTGACAAATTTTCAAAATGGATTTTAGATCAGAAACAAGCCAATCAGAGACAAGAGATTAGTTTAAAAAGACAAGATAGCAGACGAATGTCGGTCATTCATTTCGGGCAGAGATGGAACAGGGTTGTTAAGCTCTGAAGACTTGGATCAGATCTGAAGATTGAGGGAAGATTTTGGCTGCAGAAGTGCTGAAAAAACAACAAAGATGGAAACTTAAAGCAATGAAAAACCGCTCAGCAGCACATGATCACCCTTCAAGAGGACTGACCCCAGATAACTCTGAACAAGTCTCTGATTGGAATTAATAACATTTGATGACCGTTTTCAAACAAGGTTGTTGGAATTATTCTCCTTTTTCCTGGAAAACCAATCCAATCATGGGATTTGCGGTAGGAACCAGCCTTTTTGAACCATTTTACAGTATACAGCAGTTATGGCATAGGTCATTTACAAGAGATTATTATAAGAGATTGGTGCATCCACACCAAGAGGATTTTGGATTTTCACCCGTTTTTTGATTTTTATTTCATTCATTATACTACATTTTTTGAAACACATTTGTTTGCACTGCTGCTGGATTTTTGAAAGCTATAAAATGTAACCTTATGCAAATTTATGATTAAAAACACAAAGCATGAAAATCATAGAGTGTTGGACTCATTTTCCTGATGGAATCTGAATGATACATGCTCATTGCTGAACTTACTCAGGAAGTGTGCATGGTTCTGAGATTTTGGGAGGTTTTTAATGGTTACTTAATTAGATTTTTGAACAGCATCCCCATATGGCCAATTTGGCCTGGCCTAATAAAATTACCAGGTCTTGTACCAATTGCAAAACATCAAATAGAGGAAGGGCAGCCATAATGCAGGATACCTTTATGGTAAACTTTGCAGTCGCTGCTACTTGACTCTAAGAGCTGTGAGGTGAAATAGGGGTGCGTCCTGCAGATGAAGGTTGTTAGTGCCTGGTCAAATCTTTCTCGAACCCAGCCTAAGAGGGCCTGACCGTAGTCTTGTTTGGGTAATACTCAGAAGTCTAGGGGGTCAAATCACCGGTTAGACAAGGGCTGGAGGGGTGTTAAACCCTGCAACGAAGATAGTGCCCATTTTTAAGAACAAGGGTGATGTATAAAGTTGTAGCAACTAGACAGGATTTAAATTGATGAGTCACATGATGAAAATCTGGGAGAGAGTCGTGGAAGCAAAACTTAGATGAGAGGTCCAAAAAAGTTCAATCTGGTCCTCTGGACATTAAAAAAAAACAAAAAAAAAACAAAGCAAAAAAAATGTAGAAATGTTTCATCTCTCAGGGATGAAGATGTTGACATCCTGGACAGAGTGGAACGATGGTTTGAGAGAGGAGTAAAGGAGGCCATCTTTGTGAAAAGAAACCGTCCATCATTAAACAGGGGTGGAGGCCTCCAGGTTCAACTGTCCCCCTCTTACAATGCTGTGATTGCTAGTATCACTCAGCCCTCTGTGAGTAGTAAACAGCCATCAGTGTGCTAATGATCCATTGTTAGGCTGATGGTCCTTCTTGAGCATGTGATCAGCTGGTTTTGGTTGTCAGCAGCAAACTGGTTGATCCACTCTGAGAAGGTGCTATTTAAGAGACTGAGCTGAATACAGCTCCTCAGACTGAGGAAGTCTCTCGGATGAGAGATGAAATGTTTCTACTTTTCTTTTTTTTGCTTTGTTTTGTTTTTTGTTTTTTTGAATGTCCAGAGGACCGGCTTGAACTTTTTTGATTTTTCTACCTGGATTATTGAGCATGCATCAGGATATGTTAGATGAGAGGTGATTATTTGTGAGCAGCAGTATGGTTTCATGCCAAGAAAGAGCACCACAGATGACATGTTTGCTTGAGAATGCTGATGGAGAAGTAATAATAATAATAATAATAATACATTTTATTTGTAGGCGCCTTTCTTGGCACTCAAGGTCACCTTACAATGTCAATCATAAAAACAGACACAATATTATACACACAGTAAAAACAAGTAAAATAGAATTAAAATAAGACAATGCAGTTGCAATCACAGAGTGTAGGCTTCTTTAAACAGATGTTTTGAGTTTGACTTTGAAATGTGGCAGTGAGTCTGTTTTACGAATATCAGGTGGGAGTGAGTTCCAGAGCTGGGGAGCAGAGCAGCTGAATGCTTTGCTCCCCATAGTACCAAGACGGGCAAGGGGAACAATGAGCTGAATAGAAGAAGAGGATCTGAGGGTACGATCGGGTGTAGCGATGTGAACAAGGTCCGAAAGGTATGGAGGAGCGAGGGGGTGGACAGCTTTGAAGGTAAGGAGGGGTATTTTGTAGTTGATGCGATATGGGATGGGAAGCCAATGAAGTTGTTGTAAAACAGGTGTGATGTGATGGATTGATGGGGTCCGTGTAATGATACGGGCAGCTGAATTTTGGACCAGTTGTAATTTATGGAGGGTTTTCTGAGGTAGGCCAAAAAGAAGAAAATTACAATAATCTAAACGAGAGGTGACCAGACTGTGAACCAAAACAACAGTGGAGTGAGGAGTGAGGGAAGGACAGAGACGATTAATATTTCGAAGATGAAAGTAGGCTGACCGAGTGCTATTATTGACATGAGAGGAAAAGGAGAGGGTGCTATCAAGGATGACACCCAGACTCTTAACCTGATAGGAGGGAAAGATGGAAGAGTAATCAACTGAAATGGAAAAGCTATGATGTTTATTTAGTATTGATTTAGTGCCAATTAAAATAAGTTCTGTTTTATTGCAATTTAGTTTAAGAAAGTTTGAAGTGAACCAGTGTTTTATTTCAAACAAACAATCAGTGAGGGACAAAGGTGGAAGTGTTGAGTTAGGTTTGGTTGAGAGATAGAATTGGGTGTCATCCGTGTAGCAGTGAAACTGAATATGATGTTTGCGAAAAATGAAACCAAGGGGGAGAAGGTAAATGATAAACAACAAGGGTCCCGGGACAGAGTCCTGTGGAACACCTGAGGTAACAGATACAGGATGAGATATGGAAGATTTTAACTGAACAACCTGAGTGCAAAGTACAGTACAGAGACGATCAGAAAGAACTCCATTGTGTCTTTGTGGATTTAGAAAAAGCACATGACAGGGTGTCAAGTGAGGAGGTGTGTTATTGCATAAGGAAATTTGGAGTGGCAGATAATTATTTTAGATTGTTACAGGACATGTATGAGGACAGCAGGAATGTGGTGAGATGTGCTGTATGAGTGACAGATAGCTTCAAGGTAGAGATGGGATTGCATCTGGGATCGGCTCTGAGCCCCTTCTTATTTGCTCTGTGATAGACCGACTAACAGATGAGGTCAGGCAGGAATCCTTGTGGACTATGATGTTTGCAGATGACATTTTTTGATCTGTGGTGAAAACACAGAACAGGTGGAAGAGAACTTGGAGAGGTGGAGGTATGCACTTGAAAGAAGAGGAATGAAATTTGGCTGTAGTAAGACAGAGTACATGTGTGTGAATGAGAGGGAGGCCAGTGGAACAGTGAGGCTGCAAGGAGCAGAGGTCACAAATGTGCAGGAATTGAAGGACTTGGGGTCCACTGTCCAGAAAAATAGGGAAGGTGGTAAAGAGGTGAAGAAGATAAGCCAGATAGGATGGAGTGGATGGAGAAAAGTTTCAGAAGTGATTTGTGACAAAAGTGTGTCAGCAAAGGTCAAAGGAAAAATTTACAAGACAATGGTGAGACTAGTTATGTTGTATGGTCTGGCGACAGTGGCACTGGCAAAAAGACAGGAGCCATGGTAAATGGTAAGTGGACTGTACTTATATAGCACCTTTCTCTCTTATTGAGATACCCAAAGTGCTTTACACTACAATCTGTGCCCTCATTTACCCATTCATACAGCACTCTACTATATTTATATAAAGAATAATCAGAGCTTTATCACATTCATACACCGATGGGACACACATTGAAGGCAATGCGAGGTTCAGTGTCTTGCCCAGGGACATTTCGGCATGTGACTGTTGGTGGAATCAAACTGCCAACTTTGGAGGATGACTGCTCTAACCACTCACAGCCTCAGCCACAGCTGCCCTGGATAATTGGTGAAATGAAGATGTTAAGGTTCTCCTTAGGAGTGAAAAGTGTCGATAAGATTATAAATGAGGTCATCAGAGGTACAGCACAGGTTGAACAAGTGGGAGACAAAGTTAGAGAGGTCAGACTGAAATGTTTGGACATGTCCAGAGGAGGAACAATGGGAATATTGGTAGAAGGATGTTAGAAATGCACCTGCCAGGAAAAAGACAAAGAAAAAGGCCAAAAAGGAGATACAGTATATGGATGAAGTTAGAGAGTACATGGAGGTAGTTGGAGTGAGGACAGAGGATGCAGAGTGATATGGAGGAGGATGACTCGCTGTGGCAACCCCTGAAGAGGGAAAAGCTGAAAGAAGAAGAATTGATATGCATTGATAAGAACTTTTGCTATTTTTGGATGTAACTGGGACCTTGATTACACAGTTTTGTTCCACCTCATGCACCACATGTGATGCAAATGACAAAGAAACTTGAACTTCAACTTGGTGTATGGAAATGGTGTGTTTTTGAACACTTCATCGATGTTTGGGGCTGCAGGTGCATGAGCTCATCACAGCAGCTAGTAACATTCTCCTTGTATCATGTTCCAATATGTCTGGTTGTTGTTTTACCTCATTATTGGCGAGTTGAAACCACGGCTGTTTGCCGTAAGTGAAGATCTCCCACAGGATGACCCCGAAGCTCCACACATCGCTCTCTGTGGTGAACTTCCTGTACATTATACTCTCTGGGGGCATCCAGCGAATAGGCAACATGGTGTGACCACCCACCTGAACACACACACACACACACACACACACACACACACACACACACACACACACACACACACACACACACACACACACACACACACACACACACACACACAAGAGAGGTTTGAAACAGGTTTGATGCATGGACATGAAAAATGTATACATGTTCTAAAAGTAATGAAAACTAACGTTCCATTGAATTTATTGATGAACAAAAGTTACCTTAGATGCAATCTGTTGGTTTCTTTAGGTCACTATTTACTAATTGAAGTTTTTTAAGTACACTGAATTAGACTGTGTTATACTATAACTGGGTTGAATGATTTTAACTGAGCAGGATTCATGATTTGGACTTTTATTTAGTGCCCTGGCATGATATCTGTCCATCAATTGCCACAGCTACATTTGAATGTTCATTTGAATCCTTGTTTTCAGAGGCATGTCTGGATAAATGTTGTCTTTGGATGAAAAATGAGTCGCTGAGGAGGGCTGTACACACAAACCATGAGGCTAGATTTCCCTACAAAGCTGAATATTAATGAGGAGATGCTGTAGGGTTTTAAGGTAAGATGACCTACAAGCTGAAATAATCACCAAACTTCATCACAGTTGGTCAAGAAGAAAGTGGCAGCAGCGTCAAAACCATTGGAAGTAAAAGCTGTTTGAAGAACTTTCTCTTATTTTGAGACCACAGCTAACCATCTAACCAGTTAAACATCATGCATGGTGCATGCTGAGCTATGGTGTAGCTCCTCATGACACTTTGAGCAAGAAATTTGAAAACTTGGAGGCGTTGCCAAGGTGTAATGATGCTCAGAAGGTCCATGACTTAAAGAGTTTATGACTGAATTTCTTTAGGACTTGTTGGAGCTTGGAGAGAAACACAGCTTGGAGAGTATCCTGATACATGCTCAATAATCCATGTGACTTAACTTTTTTAGATTTTTCCGTCAGGTCCTCTGGATGGGTTCAGACAACTTGGAGAGGGCCCACTACATAATAAATCAAGCTTGCCACCATGAACAATGTTCCTTAGAGTGACAGGTTCAAACCAGGAATACTACTCTACACTTTGCCAGAGAAGGTTACCCTCTGCTACCCAACAAGAAATGGCTTTACATTCCCCCAGATTTCAAACTGACTGCATTCAGAATCAGAATCAGAATGCCTTTATTGTCATTATACGCAGTACAATGAAATTAAGAGCCACTCCTTTTTCCAGTGCAAAAACACGTCTTAAGAAAACACACATTAAACACACACTAAAAATATAAAAAATGTAACGCAATATAGATATAATAATGAAAGTAAAAAATACAAGTATTACACAATTGTATTGCACATTATGGATATTAGTGAGGTAGTTAAGGTGACTGAGGGTATGAAATGTCAGTAGTATTGCACAGTAGAAGTCCAGGGGTTTGGGAGGGATTCAGAACCTGGCCAAGGAACTGGACCACCTTATCATGAACATGGAGCTTGAGATCTCATACTGCAGGCTTACTTGTGGTTCCTAGAGTTTCCAAAAGCAGAATGGAATGCAGAGCTTTCATTTATCATGCTCCTCTCTTGTGGAACCAGGGCTTAATTTGGGAGAGTGGTGGCGCAGAGGTTAGAGAAGATAGGTCTGTGATCTGAAAGTCGCAGGTTCAACTCCCGGTACCATCAACATCAAAATGTGGGTGGAAAAGGTGTAACACCCACATGTGCCTCCACCCTCATTTACCCCACTCTGGGCCCTTGAACAAGGCTCCTAACCCCCATCATTTGCTCCCCAAAACAGGCCTCTTTTGAAAATGAGTTCTCATGACTCAATGAGACTACTTGTCCAATAAAATTCCGAAAAATTATGTCAACCTAAAACAGCTGAATACTTACATTGCCTTTTTACAGGAACCTCATGTGTGTTCTGCAGATAGTGGAAAATTGCCAAAAAATGATCTAGTCAGGTGTTTCAGTCTAATTTCCAATCCAAATCTAGAGGGGTAGCTATTATAGTTGGTAGACAGGTGCAATTTACAGCCGCAAGTGTCCATGCTGATAATGTTGGGTGGTATGTTGTAGTAGTAGGGAAGTTGTGTACATGCTGCCAGTGATGTTGGTTTTGGTGTATTCTCCCAACTTGTACGACTCTACATTTTTTAGTATACTCCTCAAATATACTATATATGTCAACACATGGTCTTATAATTGGCGGTGATATAAATTGTGTGCTTTCATCTCTTGACCGTAGTTTGATGGAGAAAACCACTTTGACTAATGCCCCTTTTCCACAGTTACGGTGTGGATCAGGCCAGTTCGGGTCAGCTCAGATCGGCTCGTGTCTCGTTGCTGTAAGGATGGTACCTTTTGCTGTTTCTGTTTGTGTCTGTGTTTCCCTAGTGTTTCCTCGTCAGTTTAATTGTTGCCACCTTTGTCTCGTCACACCTGTTGTAATCACGTCTTGTCTTGTCCTTGTATATAAGCCTCCTGTTCTGTGTTGTTCCTTTGTCGGGTCGTATTCGTTGGGTCTCCTGTGTTCTCCTGCGTCTTCTGAGTCTTCCCTGAGTTTCCTGAGTCCCTTCTGAGTTTCCCTCCTGAGCCTTCTATTGATGTAAGTTTTGCTGCCACGTCAGCTTATTGTTTAGTTCTTTTTTCATCATTAAAGATATCTATTTTTGTAATCTGCCGAGTTGAGTCCTGTCTGCACTACTGGGTTCGTTCCTGACCACCAAATCCTGACAGTTGCATTTCCATTTACACTTCTGGACCGGCTCTGGAGACGGGGTCCAGGATCCAACTCGTCTTAACACCTGGTGGCGGTAGTGCTCCCTTAAGCTATTTTCTAGCCACCACTAAATGTATTAGAAGAAGAGCACCCTGAAGGTTTTGTCACACGATGTTGTGGAAGAGATGTCATGCTTTAATGGAGTACCTCATGAGCTGTAACTTTTAAACCTGATTCATAAACCCACCTTACTGCCTTCCCTGCCTGCTTTAAACCCATATGTTTTCCATTTTAGTATATATTTTACAAATAAAGATGTATTAAAATATCTTCACTTTTATTGTTTACAGATATGCACAAGGTTCATGTTAAAATTGTAAAACATCGCACTGTGCTGTAATCTTTGAAACTGCTTTTACAATAAGCTACAGACCTGAAAACATCCATCCATTTTCTTCCGCTTATCCAGGGTCAGGCCGCAGGGGTAGCAGCCTAAGTAGGGTGGCCCAGATTTCCCTCTCCACAGCCACTTGGTCCAGCTCCTCCAGGGGAATCCCAAGGAGTTCCCAGGCCAGGCGAAAAACATAGTTCCTCCAGTGTGTCCTGGGCCTTCCTCTGGGCCTCCTCCCAGTGGGACGTGTTTGGAACACCTCACCAGGGAGGCGTCCAGGAGGCATCATAAACAGATGCCCGAGCCAACTTAACTGGCTCCTCTTGACGTGGAGAAGCAGCGGCTCTACTCTGAGTCCCTCCCAGATGATCGAGCTTCTCACCCTATCTCTAAGCGAGAGTCAAGACACCCTGCAGATAAAACTCATTTCGGCCGCTTGTATCCGAGATCTCGTTCTTTCGGTCACAACCCAAAGCTCATGACCATAGATGAGGGTGGGAACATAGATCGATCGGTAAATTGAGAGCTTCGCCTTTTGACTCAGCTCTCACTTCACCACGACATACCTGTACAGCGCCCGCTTCACTGCAGATGCTGCACCTATCCGCCTATCGATCTCACATTCCATTATTCCCTCATTCGTGAACAAGACTCCAAGATACTTGAACTCCTCCACTTGGGGCAGGACCTCCTCCCTGACCCGGAGAGGGCACTCTAGCCTTTTCTGGCTCAAGACTATGGCCTCGTATTTAGAGGAAATTATCCTCATCCCGGCCGCGTCACAATCGGCTGCAAACCGCTCCAGAGAAAGCTGTAGATCACGCTCTGATGAAGCCAATTTTTTTTTTCATTTACCCTTTATTTATACAGGTAGTCTCATTGAGCCACGAGAACTCATTTTCAAGAGAGACCTGTTTAGGGAGCAGATGGTGGGGGTTGAGGGCCTTGCTCAGGGGCCCAGAGTGGGGGCGAATGAGGGTGGAGGGAGGTGTGGGTGTTTCACCTTTTCTACCCACATTTTTTGATGTTGACGGTACCGGGAGGTGAACCTATGACTTTCTGATCGCAAGCCCATCTTCTAACCTCTGCCTCACCACTCCCCCAATAGGACCACATCATCTACAAAAAGCAGAGACGTAATCCTAAGGCCACCAAAATGGATGCCCTCAACACCTTGGCTGCACCTAGAAATTCTGTCCATAAAAGTTATGAACAGAATCAGTGACAAAGGGCAACCTTGGCGGAGTCCAACTCTCACCGGGAACAAGCCTGACTTACTGCCGGGAATGTGGAACAGGCTCTGACACCGGTCATACAGGGACCTAACAGCCCATATCAAAGGGACCGGTTCCCCATACTCCCAGAGTACCCCCCACAGGGTTCCCCTAGGGACGCAGTCGAACGCCTTCTCCAAGTCCACAAAGCACATGTAGACCAGTTGGGCAAACTCCCACACACCCTCCAGGACCCTGCTGAGAGTATGAAGCTGGTCCAGTGTTCCACGACCAGGACGAAAACCACACTGCTCCTCCTGAACCTGAGGTTCGACTATCCGACGGACCCTCCTCTCCAGAACCCCCGAATAGACCTTACCAGCGAGGCTTAAGAGCGTGATCCCCCTATAGTTGGAACACACTCTACGGTCCCCCTTTTTGAATAGGGGGACCACCACCCCGTTCTGCCAATCCAGGGGAACTTCCCCGATGTCCACGCAATATTGCAGAGTCGCGTAAGCCAACACAATCCTACAACATCCAGAGCCTTAAGGAACTCTGGGCAAATCTCATCCACCCCTGGGGCCCTGCCCACGAGGAGCTTTTTAACCACCTTGGTGACCTCAGCACCAGAGATTGGAGGGCCCGACCCATGGTCCCCAGGCTCCGCTTCCTCAGTGGAAGACGTGCCGGTGGAATTGAA